TCATCAATTTATATTTTTCTATATATCTTATATAATAAAATCAATACAATTTCCTATATTATATATTATATGAAATACCCCCACATTTATTTAAAAAATGTTATTTTCCTTACTTTTTACATCTATTAAAATAAAAATATGAAAAAAATTACTAAAATAATTAACCACTCTCTAATTAACCTTCCCTCACCTATTAATATCTACTGATGAAACTTCGGTTCCTTACTTGGTATTTTTCTCTCAATTCAAATCATCAGGGGACATTTTCTCTCAATTCATTTCTGCTCTAATATTTCAATTGCCTTCAATAAAATCATTGATATTATCTAAAATGTACCTAATGACTGAATCATACATAATATCCATATAAATGGAGCTTCTTTTTTCTTTATCTGCATATATCTACATATTGGACGAAATATTACAACTCTTTTAACTTAACATATACCTGAATATCTGGTGTAAGAATTTTCTTACTTTCAATAGCTACAGCTTTCCTTGGCTATGTACTCCCTTGAGGACAAATAACATTCTGGGGAGCTACTTAGTAATTACTAATCTTATATCAACTATCCCGTATATTGGAAATATATGAGTCATATATTTAAGATGGATTTTCAATTAATAATTCTACACTAAATCGATTTTTCTCCTTTCACTTCATTCTACCTTTCATTATTCTTTTATTTATTATAATCCATCTATTCTTTCTACATCTTAGAAGATCTTCAAATCCTACGGGAAATAAATAACATCTTTATAAAATTCCATTCCATCCCTACTTTACCTTTAAAGATCTATTAGGCTTTAGTGTTATATTATCTATTTTTCTTCTTATTATCCTTAAATACCCTCATGTATTCAGAGACTCTGATAATTTTATTATTACTCCTGCCAATCCTTTAGTCACACCTACTCATATTCAACATGAATGGTACTTTTTTTGCCTATGCTATTCTCCGGTTTATCCCTAATAAACTTGGGGGAGTAATTGCCCTTACTATAACAATTTAAATTTTATATACCTTTTCCCTTACCAAATCTATTTACTCCCATCCTTCATCTATAATCCTATCTAATCGACTAATATTTTGAATATTTATTAATACATTTATTCTCTTAACTTGGGCAGGCGCCCAATTAATTGAGGATCTCTATATCCTAGTCAAATTCTTACTATAACTTATTTCATATTTTTTGTCCCTAAAATATGAAAATTTATTATTTATTTATAAATTTCTTATTCTTTATCTTTCCCCCCAACTAGTAATTACTAAATAATTATTTAATCACTTTCTTAAAAAGCCCCTTATCTCCCAACTTCCCCTGTTCCCACATTATCTTAAAACTTAAACTTTTATCCTTATCTTACTCTATTCTATTAAACCTCTCTAACCTATTAACTCTTTAAC